TAAACAAGGTATCAATTTTCGGACCCTAAAAAATTGCTACAAGAAGAAGCAGTAGAACTGGGTTCACAAGCTTTATTCAACTTATAAAAGTTTAATTGTCCAAGCTCTAGAATTTATGGTATGCAAATTCATAGAAAAGCCATAGACGAAGGTGCCATAGAAAAATGAAATACGAACCATCTTGTCAGGTGAACTACGCCGGCTGCCGACCCTCCTTCGCTGCTCCTAAGTCCCAAGTCCGAAGCCGCTCTCTTTCTCTCTCTCAATGATCTATGTAAACTACAAACACTCACAGTCGCAGCTCTATATACCTCCATTTTATGACGAAACCCTAACGAGCTCCCGCTTTGGGGCTTGAAATTGGGCCTACTTTGGGCCTCAAAATTTCTGTTGTTTTTTCTTCTTTTTGGGTTTGGCTAGGCTAAGATTCCTTTTTGTTTTCGGGGTTTGAAACTCGTGCTGGCCCATTAGTTTGGGCCTAACTACAGAAAATCTGATCCAGTAGGGGAATATGAAAGCACAAAGTCGACCTAACACTTCCAAGTTTTCGAAAACTATCTTAGACTTCTATGCAACTTGAAATTTTTATTTTTTTTTAATACAAGCGATAGTCTAAATTAAATGGTGGAGAGGGTTTTTCACCCACACACTACTAAGGTGTCATAGGTATTCTAACTTAAGACCACTGATCTGCAAGTCAATGTTATTTTTCACTGAGCTAGACTCCATTAGCTATGCACGTTGAAATTTTAATTAGAAATGAAAGCGGTTCTTGGAAAAAGTAACTACTTTTTTCTTCTTTTTGGGTTTGGCTAGGCTAAGATTCCTTTTTGTTTTCGGGGTTTGAAACTCGTGCTGGCCCATTAGTTTGGGCCTAACTACAGAAAATCTGATCCAGTAGGGGAATATGAAAGCACAAAGTCGACCTAACACTTCCAAGTTTTCGAAAACTATCTTAGACTTCTATGCAACTTGAATTTTTTTTTTTTTTTTTAATACAAGCGATAGTCTAAATTAAATGGTGGAGGGGGTTTTTCACCCGCACACTACTAAGGTGTCATAGGTATTCTAACTTAAGACCACTGGTCTGCAAGTCAATGTTATTTTTCACTGAGTTAGACTCCGTTGACTATGCACATTGAAATTTTAATTAGAAATGAAAGCGGTTCCTAATACAAAACGTAAATGTTAAATGTTACCATTATGATAAAAGACTAATACAAGTATACGATGTGCATTTATGAGAAGTTCTTTAATCCGATCATCGTCGTGACCACGTCGATCGTCTGTCCAATCTCACAGTCTAGCGAAGCTCTATTTATTGAAGTCACACCTTGTCCACGCAACCCACCATCCCATGGTGGTGGGATCTCAATAAAAGGGTGACCTTGATTGGACTGTCGGCCAAAGAATTTGGTGCGTAGCTGTGCCTGTGATTGTTGTGAATGGACGACAACATGCATGGGCAGGATGACCAGTGCACAACAACATTTATTTTTAAAAAAAGTGCAAAAGGACATGGCCGATGTGAAAGGTGGACTTAGGCACAATGCCGGGGGCTCCTCCTCTCCCCTGAATATTCGTGGCTTATTCTTCCTAGTGAAAAATGGCATTGCCATGATTAATCTTCATATTCACCAAAGGAGAACAAAAATATCATATGATCGTAATGATTATCATCTTTAATTATACGTGTCAATCTTAATTTTATTTTATGACGAGACACACTTGACAAAATATTTGGCATCGTTTAGTGACTCGACCTGAACTGATTTCTCCACACACACAAATCATTTTTCTTCTTTTTCATTTATATTGCGCCACAGCCTTGACTTTTTACTTTCCGTACCCAAAACACCAATCCTCATTCATTCACGTTCTAAACCATCAAAATAAAAATAAACAAAATAGCTCTCCCTAAAAACACGTTCGATACTCTAAAATTAATAATGTGAACAGAATATACATAAACTTTTGTTGTACTACGTTAAACTGCATGCTCTTGTTTCCATTATTGATCTTATTCTTAGAAAATTGATTTCGTTACTTGTAAACTGATATGACTTGACCTTATATTCGGGTCAATTAACTTTCTCTAACGAGGTTAAGGTATTTAAGTATGTTGATCAACGACAACTAATGCGGGTTTGTAGATAAACAACATATAGAGACGCATACACGTACACATGCATTATGTAATACATGATGCTCACGCGCGTATGTCAATTGGTTTTTTCTGTTTTTGTTTTTTAATCTTAATAACAAGAAAAATAAAATAGGTGTACTTGTGTCCAATGAAAATACGAGCTATATAATATGAAAAACTATTAATCTACTATATAATGCTCATTTAATGAATGATTCATTTCTTAATATTTTCAGTAACTAGTTGAATTTTGTGAAATTATGAATGCTTCATCCTTTTTAGCATTTCCCCTTTAAAACTTTTTCTTAAGATATCTTCCAAATTGTTGGGGCTGTTGCTCTAGATGTTATTCCCCCGTGGAAAATCAGTTGGTTCCATATATTTAATATAAGTGCATAATAACTTTTTTGATGTGTCAATAACAATTTCATAAACAAGCGAGTTTTTTTACTGAAAGAAAATCGCTTTTATTCTAAACTAGAATTCGTTTTCCTTAAAAAACTTGAACAAATTTTTTCAAAATATAATAAGAACCTTATACGAAATGATTTTGTATATTGTTATATGTATTGTTGTATTTAGAAGAGTCCTATTCGTCACCCCTTCAAAACCAATAACAACAAAAGTCACAAAACTCAAGAACAAGGTCTAACAGATAGCCTTATCATAAAAATAAATAAAAAACATCAAACTGATCGGTGAAGGAAACTGGGACGTTCTTTCTCGACCCGCGCGGCAGCTTGTGCCACGCGTTACGCCAATTTTAAAAGCGTAATTTAAAAATAATAATTAAATAATCGATACAAATATTTATAATTGGGAAAAAAAAACTACGCGGTCCCCACCGGCGGATGTCGTCTATCGGCGAGACAGGCCATAAGTATAGGTGGCTTTTTGACAGCGTCGACACACTTATTTAACAGAAGAATCCTCCACGTGTCACTCCCTTCGCACCGACGCCCCATCTTGTATTTTTCTTTGCTGATTCCCCCCTCGGCCTGCCCCAACATATTTTTTATACCATTTCCATGGCCCTTACTAAGAAGGTAATATTCATAATTTTGGACTTGTGTTTCAATAATGAAAAGTCAAAGCCTTGTGATCACAATTTTTTTTTTAAGTAAAAATTTTGTGTGAGAGCATTTGCCATAGTAAAGGGCAAAGGCATGTAATGGCGGTTACTATTCACATGAATAGTATCTGTCCTCTTAATTTTTTGTTGTTTTTCCACCAATTGTCATAACAACCTAAGGGCAATTACTATTTACATGGGATTGATTTTATTTATATGTATGAAATTAATAATAAAAAATTGCTATGTATGTATAAAAAAAAAATTATTATGTATCTTTTGGTAATTTTTCAGAAATTTGTTTCTATTTTTTTAAAATTATTTTCTTTGCTGACGTTAGGGCTCTTAGGCAACAATTCAGGTTGTTTTTACATTCGGACCTAATAGGGCTTGGTGGAGCCCATGCCTTGTCTGGGCTATTTTGGACCGCTGGAGCTCCATTTCTCTGCTTGGGCAGCCTTTTGCTCCTCTTACAATGTTATGGTACTCTCATATCCAAACTACTGTAAATCACTATCCAATCATATGCCAATTGCCAAACAGGAAGGGCATAATTGCATGACCCTTATGCAATTACATTTTCAAAAAGTGGAAACTTGATAACTTGTATAACCGGTAACCAATTTTTAAAAAAATCTGGGAGCATCATAAAGGACAAATGGTGCATGGGTGCACCTGGTGCACTGTAGAAGGTGCCCTTAGGCAACAATTCAGGTTGTTTTTACATTCGGACCTAATAGGGCTTGGTGGAGCCCATGCCTTGTCTGGGCTGTTTTGGACCGCTGGAGCTCCATTTCTCTGTTTGGGCAGCCTTCTGCTAGGGTAGGGGTTGCCGCTTGAACTGCTCTTATAAAAATAAAATAAAAGGTTTAGGAGAACTTGGCCAGTTGGCCGAATTACAAAGTAAAGCAAAAGCAAATATAACATGGACTATCATTTCATTAGGGTGCTACCAATAATTAAAAATGAAATGTGTCACCACAATTTAAGAAATACGTTAGAAAGACATAATTGCATGGCTTGCTATCCGATAATGAAGGAATTTTTTTTGGAGCGAAAAATAAGGTAAAAGATTCTGGCAAGACTCTGAGTCTCCTAGTAATGAGGAACTAGTAGTATATGAGGGATAAATATAACTCTTGGGTTACAACACACAAATAATCAAATCGATTTTTTCATTATTTTGATGTCATTATTAAGATAAATACGCAGGGATGGTGTTTTCTTTGCCCATTAGTATTTGGTTTGTTTTTCTTTATAGTTCAATTCCGAATAGAATTTGTTCTGTTAGAATTTCCCATTCCAATTAAAACTTGGATTTGATGTCAATTAAAACTTGAGAATTTTATCAATGATCGTTTGTATTGTTTTTATTCAACAATCATTTGATCCATTTGTTTCAAAATGGAGACCGGCCATGGAGTTTGGGCACTCAAATAAAGCAACCTAAAAACCATAATTAGGGTTGTTGATTGAGAAATTTAGAGATCCAGGGAGCCGTTGCGATTCCTAATCCCCTCAAACCGGGAGTGTTCCTACTTGGTTTTGTTTGCCCTTGAAAAGCAACAAAATTACACCTCAACCTCAGCGGCAAAAGCCTCCGCGCTTTTCTTGTCCAACAATTATCACGTAATAATATTCACAACATATCGAAAAAAAATTAAAAAATCACCGCTTATTACAAAAATTCACAAATGAAGTAAATAATAAAAAATAAACTTTTCACGCATCAATTACAGCTGGATAACACAAGCATATATATAACACTGAAAAATTGGAGAATTGCAAACGACAGAGAGAGAAATTCTCTTGTTGCTTTTCTCCGGAGGTGTAAACTTTCTTCTTCTTCTTCTTCTTCTTCTTTCTCTCTCTGTTTTTCAATAGAAAACAAAGTACATATCAATGGCTAAAGAGAAAGCTGAGAAAGAGAAGAAGCTGTTTGTCGGAGTTGTATGGAACTACACAGCAGAGCTGAAGCTACTGCTAACAGCTCTGTTGATCCTCTGCACATTAGCCACTCTTCTCCAGTTCATTCCGTCAAGGTTCACCATCTCCACCTCTGATCTTCGCTTCTGCATCTCCCGGGTTCTTACTCCAGCCCAAACACAGTCCCAGGCCCAAGCCCCGGCCAACCAAGTCATAGCAGCAGAGCTAGTCTCAGCACCAGCACCTTCTTCCCCACCACCACCGCCCCCGCCGCCACCGCCGCCTTCTGTTGAGTTAGACCAGGTGCTCAGCAATGGCGTCATTAAAAGAGCTTTCAACCCCTACGGCTCGGCGGCTTACAGCTTCGTCACCATGGGTGCTTACAGAGGAGGCCTCAACACTTTTGCCATTGTGGGTTTGGCCTCAAAGCCTCTTCACGTCTTCTCAAATCCCAAATACCAATGCCAGTGGGTGCCCAATCTCAATTCAAGCCAACCCACTTCCACAGTTGGGTACAAGATGCTCACAGATTGGGGCTATGGCCGAGTCTACACAGTCGTGATTGTGAACTGCACTTTTGCTCAGCCCATCAATGTCGACAACTCCGGCGGAAAATTGCTCCTTCTCGCCTCCACCGGCGGCGGCGGTGACCGAAGCTTCAACACCACCGACACAATTGAGGCCTTGACTGAAGCACCGGGAAGTTTAAACACCGGTTTGTTCACTTCAAGGCCCAAGTATGATTACTTGTATTGTGGGTCTTCTTTGTATGGGAATTTAAGTCCTCAGAGAGTGAGGGAGTGGATTGCTTACCATGTGAGGCTGTTTGGACCTAGATCTCACTTTGTGATTCATGATGCTGGTGGGATTCATGAGGAGGTGTTGGAGGTGTTGAAGCCATGGATGGAGCTGGGCTATGTGACCCTGCAGGACATTAGAGAGCAGGAGAGATTTGATGGATATTATCACAACCAGTTCATGGTGGTGAATGATTGCTTGCATAGATATAAGTTCATGGCTAAGTGGATGTTCTTCTTTGATGTTGATGAGTACATCTACATGCCACCCAAGAGCAATATTAAGTCGGTGCTTGATTCTCTCTCTGATTACACCCAGTTCACCATTGAACAGATGCCCATGAGCAATAAGCTCTGCCTCTCTGAAGATTATCGCAAAACTTACAGGTACACATCTTCTGCTCTGAAAGTTCTCTGTTTTTACTTTCTGTGAATTGGGTTTTGTCAAATTTTTGCATTTAATTTGCTTAGATTTAGCCACAGTAAGTGTTGCATATAATTTTGCTCATAAAGACTGTATTTTTAGTTAACGATTTTGACATGTGGAGCTTTTCTCATTTACATCTAAGGATTGACATTTGGATTGATCACACTGGTGTTAAAATGAAGCCAAATTTCCACAATTCCATTCATTGTGATGCTAGTTTCTGAGCTTTTTTATTTATTTATTTGGCGATTGGGCATTGGATTCCTGGCATAAAAAAGACTGCATGAATGATAATATCACCTTGGCTGTATGCAGCATCATTACGGGGTTTCTGTAAATTTCATTTTTTGGCTCATTGTTTTTGTCTGGTGGTTGAGTGTTTTGGAACTTTTTTACATTGATGTTGAAAATGTAGTTTGATCAAGTGGTCGTACGCATGAAATTTTTTGGCACATTCCTCTGCTTTTGCTAAAGGGTCCTTCTTCTCTTCATTTTACTAGGGCAGGTGGTAGTGGGGTGGGCTTCAGCTTTGTTCTAAAGTGACAGTTTTTTATTATTCATGACAAAGACCTAATCTATTCTTTTAATAGTATTTTCACCCATCTATGTGATACTGTTCCTTTATGTTGTGAGCATACATCTGAACCAATCTTCAATAATTGATGTTCTTTTCCTCTATAAGAAACATGATCCCAGTTATCAAAATCATGTTAATTCTGGCAATGGAAAATTATTGATGCAATGTTTGAACTTGAATGGTTAATCTCTACAAATTTTCAAGTGGTGAAGAATTAGAACCATCCTCCAATCTCCAGTTTTCCTTCTTCTACAATATGTTTGGAAAGTTTCAATAGCCAAATGATGTTACATGGAAATGAAGGATTGGAGTGTTGAAATGAATCATCAGAAGGACAACGAGAAAATCATGTATGATGTTGTTATTTAAGTGAGATTAAGACTGATGTTGATGCTGACCAGTGTTATAAATAAAAAATCTAGGAAGATTAGGATTGTTTTGTTGGGACTTGAGAAAGAAGGCAAGGTGTGTTAAGTTTTTAACCCAACAGAGGAATGGTTGGCGTGGGGTAATTTTCTTTGTCTGTCTGCCAGCTTGATTATATATTTAGGATGTAGATCTAGAATCCGGTATAGAACTTGGTCAACAATATTTTGCCAAAAACCAACATGAAAACAACAAGAAGTTGTTTCCAAATAAACAAGTCAAAATCTACCATTCTGATGTGAAATTGTGAAACTGTGCAGGAAATGGGGCTTTGAGAAACTTGTGTACAAAGATGTGAAAAGAGGAATTAGAAGGGACAGAAAATACGCTGTGCAGCCGCGTAATGTGTACGCCACAGGAGTGCACATGTCACAGAACGTAGCAGGGAAGACGACCCACAAGACAGAGAACAGGATCAAATACTTCCATTACCATGGAACCATTGCCAACAGGAGGGAGCCATGCAGGCAGCTGGTCAACGCGACTGAGACAACCGTTGACAAAATCCCTTATGTTATGGACACCACCATGAGAGATGTTGCTGGCTCTGTCAAGAGGTTCGAGCTCAGAATGATTGGAAACAGGTTACAAAAGACCAGGCAATGAGAGCACATAAATTTTTTCCACTTTTTTTTTTTTCCTTTTTCCTTTGCATTGTTCTTTTTCTTTTTTCTGTTATTTTTTTGGTAATTTCATGTTTAATTACAGTTGTAGAACAGGAAATTCTTTGGTTTAGGGTTCAGAGTTCTTCCTTGTATAATAGTTTTCAGTAAAGGTACATATAGATACAAGTGGTGGTGGTATATGGACATGTCACATGCTTTTGAGGAAAATATTAGTTTTTTTTTTCTTCTTCATTTTGTTATTCTGATTCTTTTTTAATTTAATAATAATAATAATAATAATAAATAATAAAAAGAGTTGATTGAATTGGATTGTCGGTCAGGAGGGACCACATGAACGGCACCCATTGAAGGTGGCTTTGGTGTCAAATGAGCTTTATTTTGCTATCTCACTTTTCATTTCTGTGTCCTCCTGGATTTATCATTGCTTTTCCTCTTTTTTTTCTTTTCTTTTTATTCTTGACCAAACAGATAAATCCACAGCGTAAAACAAAGTGAACAGAATAAACCCGGGAGCTTTTTACATTTCCAAGCATTACATTTTCTGAGGCATCCGATGTTAAAGCATCAAATAATAATATACACTAATTACCAATAAATTAAAGAAAAAAAGGTATTTTGTACCTTTTTACCTTTTTAGAGAAAAAATATTATTAGCTTTTATAAAATGCGCGGCCCCCCGAAGATTAATCTTGAAGTTTTGCATCAATGAATACATGGAGAGGACCCTTGCTGCCATGACAAGATTTGTGCTTGCTTTGCCGATGAGAAAAGAAAGACTGCATATCATATGTGATTTTGATGATAAACAAACATAGACCATATGGGTTTTGGAATGATTCAAAAAAATCACAAAAGGGTTAGCTTTATCCAATATGAGACGAAGTCAAAAGGAGCTGGTGGGTGGCATTTTGGAATGTCTCATCCTGTAACTAACACATGGACAAAATTAGGAAAGAAAGAAAGAAAGAAAGCAAGGAAAAGAAAGGAAGGAATGAATGAATCAATAGTGTCCTATCTCTAGAGGGTTCCTCATAATTCTATGCTAGCTAGCTATTTATGACTTTTCTTAACTTTCTCATCACCTTCATAGTTTAAGTCGAGTTTTAGACAATAACGCAACTAGATTATTACGCTCTAAAAATCCACGCAGTAAAAATTTACATCGTACGAGAGAATGAGTCAATAATGTATATTACGTGCAGAGACGGACTTACGAGAACACATGATAAGTGCATCGAGTTTTTCATAGAATGTTACGAAGACCCGTGAAGCCAGCAACAGAAAGGAGAGTGCCAATCTCCATCTTCGTAATGAATTTTTTTAATGCAAATATAAATGAGTATGGTTCTAAATATAAGTCCAAGATTGAATGAGAATGTGGCAGATTTAAAGGGGTGCAACTAAAAATAATAATTGAGGTGGGTGGCTTGTGGGTCCCAATGGCCCCCAACCAATCCCTGCACGCCTTTTTGAATTTTTAATTAATGTGATACAGTGACGTAGCATTTAATATTCGCTATTATATGGTGGAGGTGCAAAAAATGTCTTTATGAGACAAAAGAGTTACTTGGTATTTATTATAATTCTGACTGGGGCTGCCTCTGCCTCACTCAAGCTCCCAGAGAACCGGCGATGAAAACTGATGCACCATTTTGTTTTCTAAAGTACAAAGCCCCATGCCTTAGTTTATTTTTGTTTGCAGATTCTCTGGCATTGATTGTTATTGTTGCACATTAAATTGTGGTGCAGTTTTATAATTTAACTCTTTACCAATAACTTATTATATGGTGTAAATGTTAGTTAAGTTAGTCGGTCAATGTAATATGTTTTTATCCGAGTTCCAACCTTCTCCCGTGTATAAAAGTAATTTAGAATATCATCATTGTAAAATATAAAAATAAACACCTTATTGTAGGATACTCTCATACCATCCTACAGTATAATCCGTTCATACATTATAATATGAGTGAACGACATAGTTCACATTTTCAACTCATAAGCTCTTGATTAAATTCTCGGCAACCGTTGTTCTCTCCTCACATGATGATTAGCCAAGCTTAAAGTCCTAACTTTACCGGTGATTGTTTGTGAAGAAAGACATTAATATATAAAAAAATATCCAACTTTTTTTTAGTCAAGTTGGCTAAAGTGGATGTCCTCCCCACTCAGCACCCGACTTCGAATTCTCCTCCCGTAATTTAGATTAGTTTAAAGTAGAATATTGCTTAAAAAAAAAAGATAATATTCATAAAAGATAATAATAAACAAAAGACCCATTTGGAAAAATTAGATTGTCGATTCCATAAAATTATTGCACATATCCATATATATATGCAATGAGTTTTTGGGTTGATTGCTGACAGAGAGTCAGAGCTGGAGGGCGTGTGAGCGTCGACAGTGTTTTGTGTTTTTTGGTTGGTTGGCTTGGCTGTGTTTCTTTTGCCTTTTGCGTTTGGTCAGTGATTTAGAAAGAAAAATATGAGGCCCATGGGCAGCGGTGGAAGTCTGGACTGTACATAGCAGCTGGCACTGCCAGACCTTCGCTTTCAACTTTCGTGATCTTGTTAATAACAATAATTAAATGTTGTGAGTTTAGGTAAATAATATAATGTCAATTAATAATGAATTTTATTTAATTTCATGAAATAATGTTTAACAGCTAACTGAAAACTGAACCACTCATCAACCAAGGTGGTTGGTGTGAGTGGTTCGGCACTCTCATTCCTTAAGAGAGGTCAGGGGTTCGATCCCTGCTCTCGTACAGAGTCATCACTTTGGCCAATACTTTACCCCTTACGGGCCGACCTGGTGTGAGTGGGGATTAGTCTGGATTGCGGTTAAGACTTAAAGGTGCCACCCATAGTTGGGGCCCATCCAGGACCACCTCATGGTTCAGACCAAAAAAAAAAAAACTGTACCACTCATCACCTTACAATTATATATTTAATTTGTGATGTTTGTATATCACGGGGCAGATGAGGTGAACATTCACATCAATTAAAATTATTTAACATTTTAATTTTATTTTATGATTTATTAACAATTTTTTTAAAAAAAACTGTTAATTAAACTTTTTTAAAATTTAAATACAACTTATTCAATTAATTGATGTGACATATGATATAGACATGTGACATTATATAATATAAAAATATGGGATAAAAATGTAATAAGTGTAACATTACTCATATAAATATTGTCCAGAATTTCAAATACATTTAATTTTTGCATATTCAAGAATAATGAAGTCTTGGTCCAAGCTACAGCTAGAGCTAGTAGTACTATATTACATTTAATAATTGTCAAAAATGGTGGGGGCCACACATCACATGAACACATGTGGCCTAGGAATTCCTCTTCAAATGCCTATGCCTCACCCTCACCAAACCCATTTCTTATTTTCCATTTGGGTGATCTTACCCTTTTGCCAGGCTTCAACTGCAAAACCATGCCTGAGGGTGAGGGGAATAGGTCAGGGTGTAGGGCACTAGACTTTGTCCAACACTCCAAAGATCCTCTATGGTGATAATTGAAAAGGTTTCAATGTCAAAGCATTTGAACATGGGATTTACGAAGTCTAAGGGCTCATTTACTTCACGGAATAAGTTGTTTGATAGGTAGATTAACTTCTACACGTTATCATTCAGTTTCGCGGAATAAATGGCGTAGAAATGAAAAGTAATATTAGAGATTGTAAATAAAAAGGGCCCATTTCCTTGTCTAAATGTCCAACTTTTCTCATTGGGTGGTGGACTTATGTTTACATTTCTATTGACGTGATACAGATTGATGTAGCTTTGATTCGTTGCATTACAAGAAGCTAATCATTTCATATTCCAAGTGTTTGGATGCAAAATGTTAACGTGCGAAGGTGATAGAGAAAGTCGGTAGGTGTGGCACCTTATGGGAAAGTTTATTTAGCTTGTTTATGGTTACATGCAAGGGCCGAACCAGGAACTTTCATAAAGGTCGCTAACTGAGTTTTGTCTTTGGCAAGTGATGGGATGGAGGGGCTCAATTTTTGTTGAGGTTAGTTTACGGAATAATATGATTAGTAAGTACATCACTCAACACTATTTATAAAAGCAAAATGCTACTCATCCAAACCTAAATGATACAGTCACAATGTACAATGAAATTGGCTTTTATTAAAATTGATGGGATTAGAGATGACTTCTATTTGACAAGAACTCAAATTGACACGATTCAAATACCACATAACGAGTTGTTGCAACCTTGTCTAGTCTATCGCCTATGGCTCAAATGAGGGAGCTTCTATAATGAGGGGTTACAATGAAGGGGTTTAATCAAACAATTCAATAATAACTCTGCACTAGATGCGACGGCTATTAAAGACCAACTCATTATAGCCTTATTGCTCAAGTGATGTGAAGACCTTGGGTAGCTTGGGGGTCAAAAAAATTTGGTTTCTATTGGCCCAATCCTTTGGGGTTAAACCAATCTTTTCGTTTAGCAAGAATTCTACAGTGAGGCCCTTATATATAGCCTAATTATAAAATAACTCTTCCGTTTAGTTGACTAAAAGAACGTCCATAGTCCTAAACTTCCAAATAAAAGGATCCAACTAGCCCAACCCACTTCAGAACCCAGCCCCAGCCCAGTCATGGGCCTAATGCCAACCCGACCTGCACAAATGTGTAGCATTGTAATATCACTATCGTAACAAAACAGCTCCAGTTATGTGCATGTTATTTCATATCAGACCAAAGACAAAAAAAAATCCACAATCATTATACCAAAAAACATAGGAAGTTATGTACTCTGTGCTTCTAAGAAAGCTTTGAAATCATTCCTAGCCTTGCGCAATCGAGGTGTAACGCAAATGGTCGGTGATGTAGGAGACGATGATGTCGAAAACCGAACATGGCGTGATGCTTCATGTGATTTCCGGCCTTGTGTTCTTGAGGAGCCATTCTTCAGAACTCCTTTTCTATCAGTGTCAAACACAAAAGATGTAGAAATTGGTGAATCCGCGTCGTTGATGCTGCTTCGTATTAGCTCCAGTGGAAGATCAAAGTAGTGACTAACAGAGTCATCATCATGCTCATTGATCATAGCTGATGCCCACGAGCCACATTCAAATTTTTCCAAGGAAAC